AAAAAAAAAAAAAAAAAAAAAAAAAAAAAAAAAAAAAAAAAAAAAAAAAAAATAGAAACCCCAAAAGATAAAAAAGAAAGAGCTAATCGAAAAGTCCTTTTTTCCCACGTCCAAATTCGAATTTGCGACTCATGGCTTTTCAGATTGAAATTCTCGTCGCGCCCTCAATTTGTATAACGCTTCTGTCCGCAAGAGGAAGCCACTGAGAATAACACGGAAATCTTTACAGAAGCGAAACACAACGAGGATTACGCGAAAGGAATGGCTCGCGAAAAGTTGGCAGCACTGCGAAAGAATCGGGTCTAGTGAACAGAAGAAAAATTATCCTCTAAGTGAAAATGACTCAGTGTCACATAACCATAAGTATTATTTATTACCTTACATTATTATAGATTAGGTTGGCTTGGCTGACCCTCCAAAAAACCTTATTAATTTAATAAAGAATAAGCCTTATATTTTACTTACACGATATCAAGACACAAACATTCTTTTTATACCTATTAGCATGTACATACACAGATAGGAAACTCGGTGAGAAGAAAAATAGTTCTACAAGTCGCCGACGCGCGGCGCCACTGTCGCCTCGATCGGTACACCACGGAAAATAGTTATGGCAGCTCCGTATTCTCGCGCGTCGAGAGTACGACAAGGGGAAAAAAAGAAAAGAAAGAAAGTGAATAAAGGTGTGGAAAATGAAAATACGAATGGATCGATACGTTACCGGGAAGGCGCGCAATTTGAGTTTCTCGGAAATTGCACCACTCTTTCTATGCTTCGCTGTGACTGCAATGTATTACAGTGTTATATTGCCGCTGGTAACGGTGACAATATTGCAGCTAGGTTGTTGGATACTACTACTATTACCATTGCTACTAAGTACCGATACTAGTGGGCTAGTAGTATCGCTCCACTAGTACGCTATAGTAAGATCAACAACCTTTACGAGCCGCAAACTCCTCGTACTTCTATTTATCCTGACTCTTTCCTCTTGGCTGGGCTGTATCTACACTCTGCTTGATTATTACTGGTATTGCTATACCGAACTAACCCCAGGAAACCTTTCGGACCCCCTGTAAAACATCCCCTTGGACAATTCCACTAATACGAGCAATTCCAGGATTAGTTGCGTTTTCTGGACATTATTCGCAGAACCCGTAAGAGCATCCCTTTGTACGTACATGCAGACAATGCTGAAGTAATTACGGGAATAAGTACGAACAACTGGTATCGTTGATAAGGGAGAGAAATATTATTTTTATTTTTCGAGTGGATAATATTTTTTGAAATTATCCTTTGAATTTTTTATGCTTGGGGGTAGTTACCCCCCAACCCCACCCCACACCCCCTGCCGTGCAAAATTTTAGGTACAAAGGTCAACCGACGAGGTGGCCGAGAGGTTAAGGCGTTGGACTGCTAATCCAATGTGCTCTGCACGCGTGGGTTCGAATCCCATCCTCGTCGATTATATTTTATTTTTAATAATAAAAAAAGAGTCAAAAAATATTTTGAATTATCTGCCTAACGGATTTACGCATATTAAAATTATTATTAGAGCTTACGAGAGCTTTAGATAAATTTGTTATTATTGCACTAAAAAAAAAAATCTAATATCTGCTTACTCAAAATGTTTATTCTCCATATATAAAAATGTTGAGGAACCCTGAAAGATACGATTTACCCATTTTCTTCTTTTTTTTTATTAACCAAACAGTTTAATCAATGTACCCCCCATGGTTCGGCGCGATTTTTCATATTCTTATTCAATAGAATAAAATAGTATGCGGCGCCAGGTACAGGAAAGAATCAATATATCGATTAGTAATTTCCAGCACGATATACGTTGACACAGTTAGATTTTAGTATAACTGGTTCAATGATATTTTATTTGTCGACAGATTCCCTCAAAATAAAAAAAAACCTGTAATTATTCCCTCTTGTTAATTATTAATTTAATTAAAAGCACATATCTATACAGTCGACTGCAATAAAAATCGAATATTAATAAAATATTGAAACTTTCTAACCTGCGGTTCACGGGACGGAGGGGGTTGTAGTGGGAGGGGAGAGGGAGAGGGGTTTAAATAAATTGAAAAGCAGGAACATGAGAATAGTACAAAGATCACTGACCTACATCACAAAGCCAGCGACAAAGATTGCATTTCATTCTTTTTGTCCTCGCTTGAGGTTTCGCTCTGCTGCCAAGAGAAAAAAAAAGAGAAAAAAAAGGAGCGATGACAGAAAGAAAGAAAGATATTAAGAGAAGAACGATGGGTTCGTCCAGTCGAGGAGGCGAGTGAATGTAAGAAAGTAGAGATGCATTCTTGGTACCTGCAAGGTGTCAAACGTGAAAGATGCAACCGATGCATTTCCCAAGTGCATTGTCACTTGGCCAATGCACTTTTCTCCAGGTCACGTGTATTATTTATCATACCTCATACGTTTATTGTAAACAAAAATTTTTTTTATCAAATATCCAAAATCAGTTATGAATGCACTTTTGAGAATCCCTTGTAGGATGCACCGGTGCAGCCAATGCAAAGCATATTACAGAATTGCATACAGTTTCCTGCACGTGCATTCGGTCACAGTATTTTTGATTAAAAAAAAAACTGCAATCATCAAAATCCATATTTTTTAGGAAAAAATTTAAAAAACGTAGCTATATAGTTTTTCAAAGTTATTTTTCATCACCACCTTTCATTCGTCAAAGCAAATGACGTATGTCTCTACGCTGTTGTAATGCCTTAGTACCTTGTGACCTTATTGTACAGGCAACGTCGAAGTACAGGTCGAGCAAAAAGTCTGATCAATGAAGCTGCCGAGCTTCGTCCACTCATTGGAGCCATTCCTAATAAAATAATATCACGTACCAATGGAGGAAGTAAAACCGGGAAGGAAGTCATTGGCCTGGGCTGGCTGCACTTCCTGTGCATTCTCTGCGCATACGGGATGACGTAAATAGTATCGATACGTATCATTAATCCGTAACGAATTAGCTTGATTCGATTAATTCAATTAAAAAATTGATCTACCCTTCCATTAGGCTCTACAAATTCATTGAATGCTCATTGATTCACACCGTAATTCGTAAAAATTATTATTATTTATTATATATATATCGTCACACCGTTTCTCGTAAAAATATAATAAAATTAAAAAAATAAGGAAGGAATTTTAGAAATTAGCTGATTTTCTTGTCTTCTGCCACGCGTCACTTGGACTCCTGTCGAAGATTGCAGATGCACCGAAAGTGGGGGAGATACGAAAATTGATGTGGTAATCGAAGCGACAAAAAAACGAGAATCAGTAATGGCAGCTGCTGCCGGCTGACCCCTTCCCCCTCCCCCCACCTCCCACTTCAACTTCCCTAACTTCTTCTTTTTTTTTTCCCTAGAATCCTTTCCTTTCCCCACGTTGCAATTCCCTTCCCTTGCATTCGCTTATTTCAGTTCTCTTTCTACCTTGAGTTTCTGTACCTCGACCCCTTTCGAATTCCAGGCGTCGATATTGACAGATCGAGTCTATTGATATAACGATAATTGACACCTGTCAAAAATCGATAACGTATAATTGACAGGTACGTTTTGTGATTTTTAGATTTATAAATTATTTCATATCTGCGTTACGGGCAAGTATAACGAGGGTTGGAGTGCAAACATTTTTTTGTAAACTTTTTTTGGGGGAAAAATGTGCATTATAGCATTTTTGAGAAATTCAGGTATAACGAAACTATTTATCTACTTGCGTACAGCTGGCAGGTTGTCCTCGAGTTTTGGACGGGCAGGTGGCAGGTGATTGGACACCTTGCTAAAAAAAATTGAAAAACGTAAAAACAAAAATTGCAATATTCAATCGGTTCTCGTTACGCCGACCCTGATATTATGTGTCGTGTTACGTCAATTTTTATTAAATTTTTTTTTTTTTCGCTACAGAGTGTCAATAATTATTATACGTGTATTAAGTATATGAATATATAACCAATTATATAATTCCGTCACATGAAATTCTGACAGTCACGTTACCAACGGAAACCGTTGACCACTATTTTTTTTTTTTAGGTGGTACTAGTTGGATATTTTTTTTCTTCCTTTCTCGTTTTAGAAAAAGGGTTTAACTAACCCTTCGTTCCTGAGATATTTATCAATATAGTCGAACATCTGCTAGGTTGCGAGAATAATATTACTTATCGAGTGCAGCTGCCTAATATTAGTGTAATTTGAATTTTTATTCAAGCGCAAGCCAGAGGGAATATTTTGAAAATGACTTTCTTGCCGAGGCATAAGGTGCCAAGGCGAAAAAAAATCCAAATATTTCGTTAGTCCTTATAGTTGAGCGTTCAGATTAATTATCCCAATAAATTCTAAATAGACATGCGGATTGGGTCATTGCCAAGTATTGCCAGTGCGACTGAAAAGCACAAAAGAAAATGAAGGAAAATTGGAAATCAACACTGGAAAATCAATCGCCGATGTAGTGACTGCTTAATAGTAGCGCCATCATTCAGCCTAAGTGCGGCAGCGGCTTGTATACGATCTACGAGTGCGTAAGGATCGTGAGGCGATTTGGCGCGGCTGCCAGCGGAATCGGAATAAGAGTGCGGGAATCCGCGAGACTTTTTTAAAATTTCATTTAAAAATTCGCTACTACGAAGTCATTAAAATATTTTTGTGAGTAGTACGTAAATCACAATTTTACCTGGATACGATATAAAAAGTGCATTATAGGAAAAAAAAATTTTAATCATTCAGCTACAAGCAGTGTTTGTATTATTGTTAATTGAAAGTGGAGGACTGGCAGTATCGTATTCCCAACGATTCAATCGAAAAACGTTGAACGCCGCCGGCAGAATGCACTGGATGCACCATGCTGCACCCAACTGTGAACCCAAGTACTGCTTTCCTGATACAATGGGTGCATCGGCGCATCCTGGCAGAATATACTGGCTTAAAGGTGGGTATTAAAAGAGGACGGGTCGCGTTGGGTGGAATCAAATATTTCTGTGGAAATTTTAAGAAAAAAAAAAATTAAAAAATATTTTTCAAAAATAATTTATACTTGGAATTTAAACCAAAAAATACAGCTTTATTTCACCTACAAATTTTATAAGGGATAACGACCTAATGGATACTGACAGATTTAGGGAATTTTCTGATTTTTATAGACATGTAATGCATCTATCGTGTTGCGTTTCGTTGCATTTTTCAAATGCACTATTCGTCTCTCGGATGTGGCAATGCGTTTCGACACGATGCACAAGACGGAAATAGGTAAAAATGCCGTATCGAATTTTGCACGATACGAGGGACGCGGATAAGCGGAAACAAAGGGAGAGAATAAGTGAGAAAAATCAAGAAGCTGAAAAATATCAGGAAGAGCGTTGCAGATGGTAAGCCCGAAAATGCACTAGAAGATAAAGCGAAAAAGAATTTTCCTTATCAAAATTTCCGCACGATATTTTTTTTCTTCTCTACAATCCTTTACATCGAGGCTGCAACGTTAGTGCTTGCATGGGATTTATGTAGATTTCCGGATTTACATGATTTTCATGAAGCGTCTTCTCCTCTTGAGATTCCCTAGGGGAGATTCCACGAATAAATAATCCCCAGACGCTGCCGTGGGGATTTGGGGAATCCCCGCGGTCTCAGAGAAATTTTTTGTCATATGCGGAAAAGCTGGATGCCAAAGTGTATAATGTGGCGAAGGGAAGAATTGAATTGTAAAAAGAGAGGGGTAAAGGTGAAATAAAGCAAAAAAAAGAGTAAAAATTTCACTTAAAAAAATTGCAAAAAAAACAAAATGCTAATTTCGGATTCAGCCGTGTCTATGAGGATGTGACTTACGTATTTTTGGATTGAATCCAAAATTTCATAAATATCCTCTTATGCTCAGTATACCCTTGACATGTATTAGTCAACTAATGCATCGATCACTATGATAAATAAACAATTATTGCAGAATGTCAATAAAATCTTATTTTCATAAACAAGCAAGCTATAACAGCCCATAGGGAATCGGCTGAAATAATATTTGGAATTTCATGTCAAAATAACGAGTAGAGCGACGGAGTACTGGTCGTTACAAAAGTACCTGGCTATGAGTACCAGAACAAAGTCGATCGATCAACATTTTAAGTGTGACTGTACACAATTTAAAAAGTAGACAATACTTTTATTTATTTACGTGAAATATTTTCTTTTCAATGAACAGGTAATTGATACTCAATCATTAATTATTTTGAGGAAAATCCTTTGAAACGTCCTATATAGGCGTTACAAGGATCAAGTTCACAGAATGTTTGGTTGGCATTCGTATAAATTATGCAACGCGTCTGGCCAATCTCGCGTTGCATAATATCACGCCGACAAACGATCAATTTCCATTATCGCGTCAATGCCTCAACCGGTATCGAATTTAGGCTGCGTTTCCCACCTGATTGTCTATGTGATTTCAATAGACAAAGAAAAACTAAACGGAATGAATATCGAGTGGATCTGTAACGAAATTAAAATAGGAAATTCAATATCTAACAGAAAAAAAAAATATAAAATTTTCTCCAATGAAAATGCAATTAAACAATAAAATACAGACCTTAACACGTTGCAAATTCATTGGGGAAATTTAAATTTTACTAGCGAATCGACGATGAATTGAAGCACCGTGCGAAAAACGAGCAGTGCCGAAATCCACTATTGCGAAAAATGTCCACATTCGTGTAAATCCTTCTGGGCTCTTGTGTCCGCCATTAATTTTGTACCTTGTCCATGTGCAGGTTTAATATGTCAGGTAGTGTTATAAGCTTTGAAAAACCTTTTTTTTCTACTTATTTATCACTTCCCTATACGAGTATGCAAATTACCCGCTCGTGCTCGTTCAATGTTGCAGCTTTTAAGATTGTCGATCATTAAGAAGTTATTATTTATATGTATACAGTGTTGTAAAATTGTAAGATACCTGCAGGCTTGAAGAGAAATCAAGGTGTATATTAAAAGAAAAGTTTTCATGCCAAAGAAATTAAAAATAAAAGAATTATTGTAATGCAAGGACACGTGGATAAAATTTTAAAAAGTCATAATTGTACACATTGTAAGGTACCCCTATAACTTTAATGCAACATACTTGCCATTTATCAAGATGAGATTTGTATCGGTCGATCATAAATCCACGTGAAGATTTCACATACCAATTATAATCGTAATGTCAGTTCCACTTTGAGGGACCATCTGCTTATAAAAGTCGCCTGAATGTGAAACTGACGTGGGCCAATTATAGGTTAGTATTAGACTTTAGGTAATAGACTTTAGAATGTAGAAAACCAATAAAGATCTTTTGCGGTAATGTCTTATCCTAACGTGTGCTTCGAACTGGGTTTTTTTACTTTTAAAAATAAATATGTAAAATCAAGTTACTCAAGCTTACCACGTGATCGGCAGGTGAGATGGTTCAAGATGTTGAGAAAAACAAGAATATGCGACATGAAGTATCCTTTGGTTTCTACTGGGATATACCTTGAGGTCTTTCGAAAGATGCACCTGCCACTGAATTCCTTACATTGATTTTCTATCGAGTGGATTTCTCTAACCTATAAAAAAAACCGGGGAACACTTACAAGGAATGCTTAAATCCCGTATACGTTTAAAATGTAAATTTTAAAACGTCTTGAAATAACTATTTGTCTCTTTCACCTTTTTCACTTGGGTTATTCCGAGTGATTTTTATTTTTCACATTGACGCCAGCTGCTACGATCATGCAAACTCAGGTAGGCGAACGCGACGTGAAATCTTTAACGTTGTCGATCAGCGCCATCTGGCGTTTATCCGAACAACCATGGCTACTAGGGGGCCGTTGATAAATTGGTGGCAAATTTCGGTGTCTCTAAGATGGGTCTATGTACCCTGTGGCCGCAAAGTTTTACGTTCCGGAATGCGTTCGAAATAGGTTTACTAGTGCACTGCATCCAATTACACGGGAGAGTGATCTGCATGCTCTGGCAAACACCCTGAAGTCTGATACGTATGTATATAGGTATAACCACATTAATGGACCCTGGCTTACCCTTTACTTTCTGCTTCGTGTACCCTTTGGCTTTCAGGTACCGGGACCTCCTTCTTCCGCTACTGTGCGGCCATCGGTTGTCTGGCATGTCCCATCTATGTACATGTATATGGACCCTACCAGGGATTTAGAAAGCATCTTAAGTATCGTTTCTATTGAAGCGTTGCAAACGATCATGGCATCGAATGAACCAACCTGAAATCCTATGGATCTGATTTAAAATAAATTGTGGAGATTGGACGGATATTTTTGTAATTTTAACCTTGATCGACTGCAAATTTTTATCGTGTACTTGAAGCTTTGGAAAATTTTTGTTTCTTAAATACGAATCGTATTGATTTTTTTTGGTTCAGGGAAGGAAGGATCTCCGAGCTCGAAACAGCTGTCAAAAGCAAGAATGCGGAAAAGTTCTGGAGCCCTTGATGCAAGGGGATGAAAGGGCCGTACTTATTCCAGTAACGGATAGAAAAAGAACCGGAACTGAAAGAAGCCGGAAAACGTGACGAGAAGGTTCTTACCGAGGTTCTGATTTATCGGAATATAATGCCAATCGTCGTTCACGTCCTGAATACGATAGTGAAGATGGCGTATAAGAATTTTTGAAACTCAGTTTATTCTAGAACAAATAAAACGCAAAAAAAGTCATTAAATCATTCTATAAATCTTGTCATACATATAATTTTCGATTTTACGTTGTGGCACTTGACATTTTTTTCTCAAAAATGCATCTCAAAATTTTTCGAAATTTCCAAGACTCCTGATCGTCCAATTTTCTCTAGGCGTCAATTCTCCGCTTCTCAAATTTCAACTTATGTACAGTCGTAAGGCTGGACCAGCTGCTACCCCTAGTCACGTGTGTATCCCAGCCAAAAATGTACCCTTAGAAAATACAAACGTCAAAAATTATTTCAAGAAGGCACGAGTCCCACTCGTGTTGGGACTCACCCTTAAGAGCCTTTACGCGTATATAAAACGCTTCCCCCAAGGGGCCCTGGAAAAGCCTCTAAGGGTCGGAGCCAGCATGAGTCCCAAAGCTGAAACTGACACGTGCCCATCTGCTGGGCCGTTTTTCTTCTTCGCTGTTAAGAAATTGCCCGCAGCTTCCCGTGAGCGCTTTTGGGCCATTCCTACCAGCTGTTCATAATGGGCCTTCTCTTTTGGGCCAGGTCAAAATTTTTTTTATCCTCATATACAGGCAACGGAACCCCTAGAAAAATCTACTTCGAGTATCTCTCTGTAACCTCAAAGTTAATTGAATTTTATTTAACGTGCATAAATTCAAAATTTTTTTTTTGAGCCCATAATTTTTCTTATCATTTTCTTTCCCATTCTCCAGCAACTACCTTTAATCCCATTTTCTTATACCCAAGTGAAATATTCCACCTGTCAATGAATTCCACGTCTTTTTGTTTTTCCTCCTTCTCGAAATTACTTCCTACATCAATCGCTTATGCATGAGCTTTTACCATGTCTGTTTTTCTCTCCCTTTTTATCCCTTAGGTCTCTCATCAGCCTGTTTATCCCGAGGGAATATTTTTTCTTGATTGTCGACACTAAAGCGAACGACACGTGTTACTGTATCATCGTCATTTAATTACCAGGCAGTTCCTCGTATGTCCTGTCTCAGTACCATCCACATAAACTGACACGTAAAAAAGAAACCCCTCAAAGCTTAACCCAGAACGAGTAAATAAAATATAAAAAATATATTTCCACGTAACAATCAATGTTACCGTGAAAAATTGTATAACGGGTGTTCGATATAAATTATAATTAAATATGAAATAAACTTATTTATTTGCAATAATAAAATTTTAATAATTCACAAGCAGATTTAACCGAGTACCTGTTATGCATTTAGCTGCGATAAGTCTTACAAGGATTTTTTGGTTGTCCTGTTTCGTAAGGGTTGCTGGGTAGTTTTAGAGGGTTGGTCGAAAAGTGCAATGCCCACTAAATCAAACGGACTCTGTTCTGGGAAGCCCCCATTTCTTTTTATTTCCTCCTCTCCCTTATTAACGACAGATCAACCCCTCGTCCGATCTGTGTAATACTAGACGCTACTCGTATCTATACCTACGGGGTGTATCTAATTGACATCAACAAACTACCCTTAGCGGGTGTGGGACCTGATCGATTTCCGGTACTGTCTGTTCCCACCCTGTGAGAGGGGACCAACTTCATAGTTTGGAAATACATACAGACACTTAAGGGATGAATAAATGAACAGGGTCAATGAAAGGGGGGAATTAGTTAAGCGTACTGTAAGGGTAGTTAGTTATTTTTTTCTCACAACCCTAAAAAATATAATTATCGAAATACAGTCGTGTAACGTTAGGATTAATTTTTTCATGTGAAACGTCCAAGTTACGTAAGGGTTGTAAATACCCATAAAACTCACCCTTATCGTACGGGGCTTGAATCGTGCAAATTCGCAGCCCCTAGGTAAACGTTATTAGAAACAGATATCGCGGGCACCCGAGACCTTGCTTTAAGGGTGCAGAAGCGCTCTTGATCTAATAAGGGTAAAGATTAGGGGTTGGGCTCGTGCTGGCTGGGGGGGGGGGAGTGGAAGGA